CCGTGACGGTTCACGCGACTGCAACAGGAGAAAACCTGGGAGCAGGGGCTGAAGGAGACGGTGGAGTGGGTACCGGACCAACAGCAGCCGCTTCGGAGACAATCGAGCACTGCCTCGTGGCGCATCCCCGCGCGGGGCTGGGACAGGAGGAGAGCTCCTCGGTGGTCTGACGGTGTGTTGTGTTGCAGATTTTGCCCGCTCGTGTAGGACAAACGTGTTGGGTTGGCTGGGTAAAGAGGAGAGCTCGATGGTGATGTGTTGAGGTGCAGATTTGGTCCGCTGTACGGGGCGAAAGTTGGGTAGTTAGTTAGCGGGGCTGGGTCAACAGCTCCTGAGTGGTCTGATGTTGTCTTCAGGTGCAGGTTTCGTCCGCCGTTGTAGAACAAAGGTTGGGTTGTCATTTAACAACACGCCTGGGCCAAGGCAAGAGGTCGCCGGTGGTCTGACAATGTGCTAAGTTTTAGAATTAGCCCGCTAGACAATAGGACAATATTTAAGCTATCGTGTAGGTGACACAAGATATCACACCCCCTGGACCGATTTTCAAAGCTCGATTACTCCACAGCAGAAAGATTGGCGGTGCCGCAAATGGCGACGTTGATACCGTCTCGTCTAGAGCTTTCCGACAGCGGACTATTTGAATTTGGCATCATCTTCGTGGTGGAGTAATCCAGCTTTGAAAATGGGTCCAGGGGGGGTGATATCTTGCGTATGTCACCTACGATTGCGGGGCTGGGCCAAGAGGAGGCTCTCGGTGGTCTAATGATATGTCAAGCGGCAGAAATGGCCGGCTAGACTCAAGGACAAAAAGTCAGCTATTAATAGTTAGCTCATGATAGGATCAGGTTTTGTGTACGGACAGGAGAATTGCTTTGCAGGAAACGCACCTCTGCGGTCGGTGAATTCCACACCATTTCCTTGCAATAGTTTCTCCCGCTCAACGGCGCGGTGGCGGACGAATTAGGACGCCGAGACCTTGACTCGAATTGGCGTTTCTTAGCAACAGTATTCTAGCCGGCGGACCGAAATCTGTACACTAGCGTGGTAACGGGCAACACGGGGTGTCGATTTGCACGCACCGGCGTCGGCGCGGCCACCCTCCGCGCACTGCGGCGTTGGGAGCACCGGTGCTTGGGTGGGCGTAGGCGGGAGGCTTTGAAACCTGCCAGCCGACAGCGCGACGCGACTGCTGCGGGTAACAAATCAGCTGCTACTACCGGCTCTTGTCGACAAACGCCGCCGTTGCGTGCGGAGATGCTATCGGCCGTGGTAGCGCTGGCGTGTTCCGACCATCAGCTGTTTTACCTGCGGACGACCGCCTTCGGCACGAAGCCGGGTGGTAGGCGGGAACAGAGGCCGTGGCCGTGTGTAGGGAGGCGCTAGGCCAGGCAGTGGCGTTCGATTGGCGGTCAGCATTCCCGAGGGAGGAGGATAACTGCGGTTGCGTGACTTGTGCCACTGTGGTAGAATCGCCCCGGAGTGGCTCGCCAACAGAGCTCGCAAGTTCTAATTTTGGAGAGAGGGGACGGGGTCTGTTATATACCGGTACCGTATAGGGTGCTTCAACTAAGATTTAGTGTGGTATTGTATAACCTGTATATTGTTTATTGTTTAGGATTTAGTATGGGTATACATAAACTTATACACCTCTTACTATATGGGTTTTAGACTGTGTGGTAAGTATAGTGTAGGGCTATGTGGTATAGTAAAACCTATATATGATGCTGTACATGTAGGATTATGTATAAGCACACATAACCCCATACACGTCTTAGTATACGGTTTTTATCCTGCGATACTAAAGCCTATACAGTATAAGGAATATATAGGTTTGCTATACCCATACTAAATCCTACAAAAAAACGCCTTGAACAAACTGGATTAAGCGCCCGAAAAAATGGGGGGGGTAGCCGTGCTCCAGAATTTGAATCCGCAAGCCCCCTTAGGCTCGCGTCTGGGGGGCTTCGGGAAATCGGCGTGACCGAAGAACGGTGAGGGGGGAAGACTATTTTCCACCACCAGTTCACAGGAGAAGAGTTTTCAGCACTTCCACCACAGGAAAATGAAAACAAGAGCCATAATTTTCACAACAGGGTGGACTTGCTTTTTTTCCATCCTCTCTTCGGCTTGGTTTTGTCCGTGGTAGTTCCGTGATGCATGCATGGTATTCCGCAAACTCGCGCTACCCCCGGAAGATCGCACGCAACTCATGTGTGTGTTTGCGGAGTTTCTCGGATCAATCCCTGATACATGTCCCGTTGTTGTTTTGTTTTTCAACGCCTCCTCTCGTTCGTGCCTTGCGCCTGGCGCGTGGTGATGTGAGAGCCTGGTCCGGTGAGAACACGGCGTGCTCCGTCCCGGTTTTGTCGGGATGCGAGGTCAATGGCCTAACGACTACGGCATGCACGACGATGAAGACCCCCCCCCCCCGGCTCCTGTTGTTTGGTAAATAACCCAATGGAGCGCATGGAGGCGTTCTTCTTCACGGTGATGACACTGAAGGGTCTGCCCTACACGTCAACGCGCGATCCATACCGTTGTCGCTGGCAACACGATCGACGCTGTTTCCGGGAGAGAGTCGCGCGACGGTGCAGGACACAGAACGATATGAAGCTGGCGAGACGACGTTCAGCGTCGTCGCTGAGTGTGCAACTCTCTACACTGTCTCGTAGAATCATCACCCACCTTCTAGAAGCGGGTGCCAAAAGCGGGGTGTTTAATATTTAATTAAGTGCTTCCGCAGCAACAGGGTACGAGATGTTAGCAGTTCGAGGTAGTACCACAATTCGCGGAGCCCCGTGGGGTGTGGTGGCGGAGGGGGTAGGTGATGGTTGACATCATGTCTCGACCAATGTTCGGGAGGAGTGGAGGTAGGCGCGTGTTCAAGAATTACAGCAACTGCAGTTGAAAAGGTTCGTTGTTTCGGTAAGCAGGGCTGTTGAAGAGTCTTGTTGTGTGCGTTGGTAAACATTGTCTACCTATCGTTTCTGTTCATACCTAGATGTGGTGATAGCAGACACATTTGAGGGGGTAAACAACCCAGAGCCTGTGTCGGGCGGTGGGCTTTGCTTCCATCGTTTTGTTCTCTCGCCGACGTTACACTGCCGAGACAATAACGTTTCTGGCTGGGGGGCGACGAATCACCCGCTGCGGTTGAGCTTTTTTGGCGGCACAACGTCGTCCGTGTCGAGTTCCGGTCTACACCACTACAGCAGTGGAGAACGAAGGTGTTGCGGTCTGTGGGTGCTCCTTGTCAAAGTTGGATTTTTTTTTTCCCCCGAAAGCGTGTTGTAGTGTGTCTGTCCACAATGTGCAAGCGGGGTCGTCCATGGGCGCACCACCGACGGCAAACTTGCCCAAAACGGTCGGTGTGTGGCACCGTACCGTACCGAAGGCACACGTAGATCATAGAACCGCGCTTGTCAACTCGATACGCGGGCGCGCAAACCAGCAGCGGCAGCCGTCGTCGAGCACAGGTTACCTAAAGCTTGCACTTTACATTTCGGGCGGCGAAGAGATGTTCACTCCTCCCGGGGGAAAGGAGCGAAATCAACGAAATAATCGTCCGTAAAATTCACTCGTTTCCGCTAGCCACAATCTATCCTATTTAGCAGCACTTTGCCGCGGAGGTTGACGCGTGCGGCGGCGCTCTGAAGGTTGGTCCGCCTGGCGACGACACGCGACCGATACTGCGGCCGCCACCGCCGACACAACCTCCGCTGGCACCACCGGCTTCAAGCTTTGCGGAAGCACGCTTTCCCCAGAAATCCCGCGCCCCTGCCATCGCCCCGCCGGTCGACGCTAAGGCAGCGGCGGTGCCCGCGGACGCCGAAGAAAAGGGAGGGCAGTGCGGCGCGGGGCGTAACGAGGGACCGGCCGCGCTTTTTCTCACTGCCCCGCGTACGGTAGCTGTGACCCCGGAACCGCCGGCTGCTTCCGTCCCCTCAGGAGGGTCCAGCCGCCTTTGCGTTGAAACCCCGGGCTTGGAGGAAATATTTCGCAGCCGTACCCGCAGAGAAGGCTGCTGCCTCGCCGTCGATCTGTTCGTGGAGACCGACAGCACCGGCGAGGTCGCCGCCGCCGCCGGGGCTGAGTCTACACCCAGAGCCGGCGACGGCCTCGCTCCTCCTGCTGGGACCGACGACGCTCTCGCCGTAGCCGAATCCGCCGCCGCCGCCGACGGCACGAGCGATGCCCTCAGGGGTGCTCGCCCGACTTCAACCCCAGATGATACTCTCCCCACCGCCGCTCTTGGGGAGGGCCCCGCGCTGGATATGCTTCGACCGCCGCTGCCGGCGGCGGCGGCGACCGGCGACCCCCGCGGACGAGCGAGGCTGAAGTCGCCAGACAGGCGAGGGGTCGGCGCCGAAGATCGGAGTGGGGACCGGGCTGTGAGCGGACGGCGGGGGAGCGCACCTCCTCCTCCTCCTCCTCCCGCCACGGCAGTGTTCCAGCCGCCGGCGCTACTCCCGCTTGTGCTGCTGCTGCTGCTACCGCTACGGTTGCTCTCTCGGCGGGGGTCGCGGGGGTGATCGGCGGGGGCGCCGCTGCCGACTCCACCGCAGCGCGGCTGGTTCCTCGCGGAATGATCCGCCGGCGCCCCCTGCTGGCTCACCTGGTTGTCTCCGCCGCTATGTGCTCTTGCCGTTTGGCTCGTGAAAACTGTCGCCGAAGGCAAAGGTCGGGTGGTGCCTTTCCCCCCCTCGCCGCCTCCGCCGATGTTTTCTGCGGCCGCGGTTCGGGATATTCCTCCGAAGGAGAGCCTGGGAACTGGTCTCCGCGGTGTCATATTTTGCCCAGGCTGCCCGACGCCCTGATGCCCCTCCCCGCTCGCGCCCCCCCACCCCCGGCTGTTTCTGGGATGCCTCTCCACCAGCGCTGCAACCCTGGTCTCATCGCCGTCTTTCTTGGCAGCGGCTTGTTTTCCTCCTCCGCCGCCTGCTGATCCTGCCTCTTGTTGCGTTTGGACCGGCGCCCTTGCCGCCGCCGCCGCCGCCGCCGCCCCCACGGTTGCTGCCCTAACCGCTCGAGTGGTTCTCGATACAAGCACCGGCGCCTGCAGTGGCCCCCGGACCTGTTGCTGAGGTTTCTGATTGGTTGATGATGAATCCGCATGGCCTCTAGCCACGGCCGTCGCCGACGATCCCGCCCCCACTGCACCGGTCGAAAAATTTCGCCGACGAGCCGCACTCAACGGCTGCTGCTGCTGCTGCTGCTGCTGTCCCGACCTCGAGCTCGACGTCGACGAAGAGTATGAAGGGTTTCCCTGGATTCCTCGCGGCGTCGGTGCATGAGTAGCACTTGTCACCGGCGGCTTCTCCACCCCCGCTGCAGCTCCCGGCGCGGCTGACGGTGGATGCTGCCGCCCTGTGTGTCCCACCTCCCCCGCCCTACGTTGCGGAGAAGGAGAAGTTCCATTTTCTCCTCTTCGGTTGCTGGAGGCGTGGTTCCCGCCGCTGCCCGATCCGTTTTCCGTCGCTTGTAGCGCGGTGCCCGGTGTTTGCTCCACGACTGCTGCTGCTGCTGCTGCTGCTGCTGCTGCTGCTGCTGCTGCTTGCGGCGGCGTGCCGTCGTTGTAACGTTGGTCGGCCTCCCCACTATTTCTCCTGCCTCCTCCTCTCCTCTCTCTCACGCTCCTCTTGAGGAGGAGGTAGTACGCCGTGCCGACGGGGTCGTGGCGGCCGCTCAGCAGACCCGCCGCCGCTCCCTCCACCGCCGTCGCCGTAGGCTCGCCCTTGTCACCCCCGCCACCCCCCGGCCGTCCGCCGCCCCGCGCTAGCGTTATCGCACGGGATAGGAGCTTGTCATCGATATGGGACCGGCAACACGGCACGACCGGAAAGGGGGTCGCCTTTGGCTTCGCCGCCGGGGGGTGGGCCCCGACGTACCACTGGTCCCGCCTTATGACGGAGACGGTCGCGCGCTTCGTCGGGTCGGTGTTGAGAATTAGGGCCAGCAGGTGCTTCGCGCCTGCGCGAGGCGATTCAAATTGACGTGGCGATGCCGGAGGGGTAGGTTGAGTCGGGTCGACGAGATGCCGCGCTGCGTGCTTTGTGCGTTCGCACTCATTTTCGTGGGCCATCCAGTAGTAGACCTATCTCGTTCTTATTGTGCAGTAGGCGGATACTATTTTTTTTTGCCCTTTCTCTTGGTTCGTACCTTGTCTTTTCTTTGTTGGTCGCTCTTACGACCACTCGCCGCGTCTCACCGATCGGATCAACCCGGAAGGGGGAGTGAGATACTCGGGGTCAGCAATCGGTGGCGTGTGTTCCAAACAAGGGCCACCAAACAACAACAAGGGCAGGAGACGACGACAGACACCAACAGCGTCTCCTACGACAACCTCGACGACGGCAACAGCGACGACACGAGAGAGGCCACCCTTTACAACGCACTCACTCATACATTCCTTCTCTCGCTTTCTGAGCTTCGGTCACCACACAAGACAGCAGCACAAGAACATAAAAAAAAAAGTCCTCACCTGCTGACTATTACCGCCTTGGATACAGACAAGAAACACCTTTGGTTTTGATCGGCCTGTCGATATGCGTGCCACGTTCCTTCGTACCCGTACAAGAACGTCATGGCTATTCGATTGGTTTCAATAGACAGCTAAGTCTACACGCCCTCAACGAATCCTGACCCTTACCGGGTTGTTTTCTAGAGGTGACTTCTTTCTCACCTTCCGACAGCCAGTTCGGCTTCTCGTAGGATCCCGACAAAATCTTCTTGTACAGCGCGGAAGTGTTGGGGTCCTCAAAAGGCAGGAACCCCGCCACTAGCGTGAAGAGAACCACGCCGCAGCTCCAGATGTCCGCCGCCGGCCCTTGATATCTGCATCGTAGTGAAAAGAAAACGGCATCGAGACGGCCGGGGGGGTCCGATGAGCAACAAGCGGGGGGGACGGTGGGTGTGACTTCGACGAGCCTCCCCCAGGGGATGGATGTGGAACATAACATTTTGATTTTTTATCCCTCATTCTTCTCGAGCGACCCACTGGGGTCAAGGGTTGACGTATTTTCTTGTTTGTTCTAGCTCTGGCGTATTGCCCGAATTTTCGATCGAACGGCGTTTTGCGTGGAAATGGGTCGATGAGGCTTTGCTTGTTCGGTTTTCCTCCTGATGACTCCTCTGAAGGCTCGAGGCCGTCACCTCAAGGTCTACAACATATTAAATCGTTGGACCTTTCCCTTTCAAGCCTTACGAGCTTCACCGCTACAGCACTAGTTCCATGACGATACAGTAATGTCTCTACGTGTCATTTTCATCTCCACGAATACCATTACCTAAACGGAAACGGAAAACCGGTGGAAGCTATCCATCGGCTGATTGGCTCCCCTCGCAGCATTCGTCACCCTAGTATCGAAGGCGCAACGACGCGCTGGAAAACAGAGCCTCTCACTACACTTAATGCGAACATCCCCAGAAAAGCACACCCACGCGCGTTTTCTCTGACGGCGCTCTTCGTAGCGATACTATCGAACAAAGAAATTTGTGACAACGGTTCCTGCAGATCTGGAAGATGTGCGATTGTGAAACAAATATGGCTACTGGCAGAGCATTTTTGTAGTACGCGTCCAAATTATGAGTACCTCTCGCCCGCGATCATCTCCGGAGCTGCGTAGCACGGCGACCCGCACGCCGTCTGTAGAAGTTTCCCGCCCTGTCAAGAAGTGGCGATACAGAAACCGCCCACGTGGACGGACAAGCGTTCTTTTTTTCTGGTGGGGACATACACTGTGAAGGCCTTCGAGTTTGTCGAGGGCAAAGGCGGATGCTACAGCAGCACTACTGTAGTGACGACAAAAGGTGTGTGGATCTCTCACCTCGTGGGTGTTGCTTAGGCCAAAGTCGATAATCTTGAGTCGCCACCCATCGTCTGAAGACTGCAGGAGCAGGTTCTCCGGCTTCAAGTCCCTGTGGGTCACGTCGTGCTTGTGCAGGTACTCGATGCCATCCACCTTGGTAAGTTTCACCACGAAGTGATCGGCGGGGGCCAGGGAGGGATGTCGTACGCTGGGTGTAGCTTACACTATGACAGGGAGGGTGCAAGGGACCTTTTGCAGTTTTTCTTCGCTCTTGTGGCCTACTCTGTACAATTATCTCTGTTTTCTCAATCGAGCGAGACTGGGAACATCAGAAACCTTGTGCGGCCCGGCTTGACGGCTTCTGGGCGAAACACTTTGCTCAAGTTGGTCCTACATAAGTCGACTCTTGAGGCGTGTAAGGCTTTGCTACTCAAGAGGGTATTGCGGCAGGGTCGTCGACGTGGCGATCTGTGTTGCCCTCTTGTGACCGTCCAACAGGCTGCCGGTGGAGGGAAACCTGCACCGCTGTTTCTAAAAACCCTTATTTGTTGGGCGTTGCCTGCGAATCGAAAAGAAGCAGCGCCAGCGGAGGAACGACCACTCACGGCGTGTATTTTCGGGGGTGGTGGTTAGAACTCTCACCAGCTGCCTAAAGAAGAAGCACGCCTGCCCCTCCTGAAGCCGTTGATGCCGTACGATGTAGTCGAACAGCTCTCCTCTGTTCAAGAAGCCGCGCGCAAGAAAACAAGCAGTACAGTGGTGCGGATAGCGATAGTTGCTCAGATACCTGATCGGTTGTTTCGGATACGAGCGCAAACACTTGGGGTCCAAAAAAGAGGGCCGATGGAGCACAAGCGGCGCGGGATTGCATGGTGCTTCTCTATTGGTGCTCTTGCATTTGTTCTGTCCACTATCGACCAGCTGGGAAAGGTACAGCGTTAAAGAACCCAAGCTCCGAACCCAACCCTACACCACAAGCAAGGAGACCAAGCTGTGTAAGCCAGCTGCTTTAGGCATCCAAGCTTGCCTACGTCAGAATGTAATTACCGCTCACAATGATTCTTAAACGAAACGAACGTCGGATAGATACACAGGAACAAATCAGCGCTCATTCAATGCCCAGTTAGTACGAGGGGCTCTAACAGCCAAAGCCCAACCGAGTACACTTCGACGACCGTTAACGACCGACTTAAGAAAGGCCGTGACTGCTGCGGTTATTCGTACAGGCCCTCCTACTCGGCGTACCGTAACAGGCGGAGAGATGGCACCCCCCCTAGGTCGATTTTCAAAGGTCGATTGCTCTGCACCCATGATTGTGCCAACACCAAAAAACGGTGGTTTTGGAAACATCTCGTCCAGGGCTTGCCGCGGACGTGTTTGGCTCTTTCCGCAACCCCTTGGTTGTGGGGCAATCGATCTTTGAAAGTCGATGGAGGGGGGGTGCCTCCTCTCCGCCTCTTACGTTAATTAGCGACGTACAAGCGGAGGGACACATGTATGTATGTATGTATGTGCTCGTGCGAGCACGCCTGCTTACCCGTCACAGTGCTCCATCATGAAGTAGATCGTTGATGGGGTGTCCATGACCTCGTAGAGGGCGATGACGTTTGGATGTCTCACTCTCTTCAGGATCTTGATCTCGCGGCTGACCCTCTTGACGTCGGCGATGGTCTTGATGCGGCTCTTCTCTAAAACCTGGACCATTGGCAGAAACACAACGTTTGGTTCAAAAAATGTATTTATTTGCGTGTTTGGATTCGAGGTATGGGTGAGGCGCGCGGGTTGGCAGAGGTGCGTTTTTCTTCCCCTGTCTTGAGGTTATCTCTGTAGAGAAGGGCTGGAGCAAGAATCAACCCGATCGGGAGTGCTCCGCTCTTCCCCCTTTGAATGACATCTTGCATGATGTTCCACAGAAGCATCAACGACTTCCGATGGGACGGGGTGCCATCTTTCACGGAAACCTCCCAGTAACCTTTTGCATTGGAAGCTTCCATGACTGCTATCGGAATTCGGAAGCACTTCCAACAAGGCTCAGTACCGAACATCGTGGAAATGTTAGAGCAACTGTCACAATATCCATCGAAGCGGGATCATCGGTTCCATGAGGAAGTGGCGCTGAGCTTCCACCAGAACCCGACAAAACTTCCAGGAGTGCATACTGGCCAACCCTGACCCCAGGTTACGACCGAAAACGGGATAGGTCGTTGCTGTACTTCGCGCTAAAAAGAGTGTTGGTGACCTGTGAACGACGATGAGTCGGCCGCCCTCGGAGAGTTTCTCACCACCCCAAAAGATTTCCTAGGTTGAGGCACATTTTTCTTGGAGAAAATTATCCACCCCAAGTTTGAGTTGGCCCCGAGGGGGCGGTTTGTCGTCACCATGAAGGCAACACGTTGAGGCCCCTCCAACTCTGCGAGGCGTGCAAGTCCATATTGTATATTGAGTTTACAACTTTAGCTTTCGAAGCAAGCGATCTTCACAGACAACTTGTATCCACACTACGCTCAAATACTGCCGGAGAGTTCTTTCCCTGTCAGGTTTACCAACAACCAGGCGACCCCCGCTCCTCCTGATACCCAGCAGGCACGGATGTCATTACTCATGCCCAATAGAAATTATCTGCCGAAGAATTAATGGAAGCTTCCATACGGGAACTCATGGAAGCTTTCACCATTTGACGCTAGCTTTTCAAACCACCCCATGTACCAACTCTATGCCTCCTTTCTGAGCAGTCGTCGTCCACAGGAACAGGTCCTGGATGCAAGATCCCGGCTCAGAACGGAACTGATGCCAAGAACCGTGGAGGTCCGCCGGAGCAGAAGTTTGTGTGCGTCTAAATACAAAGAGCGTCATAGGTGCACCTATAGTAAGTGTAGGCTTGGGCCACTCAAACGAACCTGTTTGCGAGCGGAAACGTGCCGAGACAAGAAGCACACTTACAGCACCTACACAGGGGTCGGCCCCACGGCTATCCTCCTTGTAAGTCGGGATTGACTTCGATCATGCATGATTTTCGGGAAAGGCTGAACATACACATATGCAAATTTAAACCTCTGCCCTAACCATGTTCTACGCGTAGTAGAAGATTCACCAAACAGCGACCGACAGCGTCCCCGGGCACCAAATAGCTAGAAACAAACCGTCACGCACACCAGCAGCTAAACGAACGCCCAAGACCCTTTAGTGGTAGTATTGCATACATGCTGTTCAGTTGTTCGGTTTGTAGGAAGACAGTAACAACAGCAGCAGCAGCAACAACAACAACAACAACGATAATCGAAGACTGCGCTGTGCGTAGCTCATCCTCCCCACTGCGCGCGCACCTTAGCCGCGACCCTCTCCGAAGTCGGCGTGTGCACCGCCAGCTTCACCTCGCCGAAGGTCCCTTCTCCCATCGTCTTGCTCAGCACAAACTGCCCCACCTGCCTTTCCCGTTTGTTCGGCGGAACCTGGTTCGAAGCAGGCGCGCCGCTGCTGGCGTTTGGTCGGTTCGCCATGGCGGGGTCCACCGACGATCCTCTTCGCCGGGTAGCCGCCGCGTGGGGGGCATGCACCATCGCTGCGAACTCTATCTATCGATGTGCGCTATTATGTAATGTAGGCATCCGGAGAACGGGGAGAGGATCGACAAGCGAACATCATGTCACATCGAACGGGCTCGCGACAGAGAACTACAGCAGTAGAACATATACCGCGCACAAAACATAGAACATGTCGTCGCGCGTCGCGAGGGTCGTTCGTCTGTTCTTTTGAGGAACGGCCGCGTCGGTTACAAAACACGCCTTTGGTTGTAAACCCTTTTTTCACCTCCCCATATTCTCTTGTCTGCGTACCCCCAGGTGGGAGCGCCGCGGCGGCGGGTCGGGTGGTTGCATTGCATTACAGGACGGCTGCCTCTTGGTGTGCAGCGCGGCGCTACCATGGAGCACGCCATGGCGATTCCCACCCCGACAGACCTCGATCCGGACCAGGAGGCCATGCTCCGGAAGCTCAAAGAAGGTGCGCTGTATGGAAGGTGGCCAGCTTGCTCGTTTTTGTCGGCGTGCTCTCACGAGGAGTCGCTTTTTTTTGTGCACATCTATCTGCCCCCTACCCTTTGCGTTGAGTGCCGCAACTGCAGTTCATCCGCAACCCAGAGCTGTGTACCGCCAACGCGACGGGACGGGGGTAGCAAGATATTCTCCTGTTGAAGCTAATGGACGTTCAAGTTTCTCCGTGGCGCAGTAATCACATCATGGTCCCCCGCCTCCATTTTTGCAGCCTGTTGCGGTGCCAGCTCGCATTTCCTCTCCCCTGTTCCTGCAGCCAGCCGCAATTTTGTAATTTTGCGGGTGTGCGAAAAGAGCCCCGCGGGCCTTCGACGGCAACCAGCTTTGCCGCCAGGACTAGCTGCAGTAGGGGCCCATCGTCATGCTCACCTGCTTCTATCCAATGCGTGTCGGTCCACGAGCTGCTGTCCTCCGTCTCCACAAAATAGAGAGCCACCGCCAACTCTGTCCGGTGCACCGTTTCGAGGAACGGACCGGACTTCGGCGGCGAAGACGCAGAGACGTTGGATAGGCCCTCTGCTTCTGTGTGCACTGAACCAACCGCTGTCCGTGCTCTTTGTAACTGATACACATCCTTCGGTTTGCCTTGCACCCGCCGAGCTGGTGGTAGGGTAGCCAGCCTGTTAATGACCGGGTTGCACGAATTGTCTGCTTGCCTTTGCGTGGGCACTCTCAACTGGAAATTAGACTAGCACCGCACCCGCTTGCATGTGTCTCAGAGTTTGTCCAAGTGGAACCTGATGGCACATGCATGCAATTGCAGACAAAATTGGCGCAGTTGCGGCCGTGCGGCGATAAGGCGGTGTCAGCGTCTCTACGCGATTTCATAAGCTCGCTCGTTCTCTCCTTTCCCTGCTTTGCGACCCTGTGTCGGCAGAGAATCAGGCCCGGGTGGTTTGCGCGGTGCGTAGAAATTTCCTTGAAAATATGAGCAAAACCAAGATGGAAACCTGCAGTTGTTCAACGGCTTGGCGTCTTTCATTCTTTTCCCTCTTGTGGATTTGGGCGTGTATGATGCCCTTGCGCACAAACGAAATGGTTGTCATCAGTTATAGTTCGAAGTGCGAACGTAGTGTACGTGCGAATGTACTCTGGTGTTTGACGGTTGTGTTTTGGTGGTGTGTGTCGTATCTCCCCGAGCGGGCAATTATTTAATCCCGCCAGCAAGCGCCAGTTCAACAACAGCAGTTCAACAACATATTTTGCGGTGCAACCGCATGCACGAAGCGCTTCGTACGATGCCAAGCTTGCAGCTCCTGGTGTGCTATAGCAGGGCCTCCTCCTTGCCAGGTTAGGTTTGCACTGCAGTAGTTGTCTGCCGTTTCTTTCGTCATATTGACTTGCACCTCTCAGCCAGGAAGGAGCCTCGATGATGGTTTTTGCGTGCAGCAGTGGGCTCCGTTTATTTAGTACCGGTTGATTAGTATAGTGTCATAGTTTTCGGCGGGCACAGACTGAATTTCCAAGTCATTGACAGTGCTTTGAATAGTGCCGGTGAAATTTCTGGGCACAATCCGACATTGACCAGGGACCCCCACCGCATTTTACTTCTATATTTTATTCACCATATATCCCGAGTGCACCGGGGGATATCGCCGAGGTCGTGTCAGTGCTTGAAACGGCCTGTGTGTGTGTGCTTTCGTCCCATGTATTCTAGCGCCGATCTACTGGACGTATGTAGGTGTATGTTCAGTGTTACGCGAGCGGGATTCACCAGTCCCTTTTTTCGTGTACAGTATTCACTCACGAACCATGTGTCGCTTTCCCCCGCAGAATTGCAATGTGTGGAGTCAAATGTCTACTCTCGAGAGAAACTCGAACCCTACAAACTGCCGCGCTATGCTGTGGGTTTTCACAAGGGTAGTTTGTCCCTGAGGGGTGACCGGCGGACGTCGTGTTTTTTTTTATTCAAGCCACTTCATGAGTCGTGGAAGTAAGTGTCGGGCAGTAGTTATTGTTTTGTCATTTTCTTGGATGTAGAAGGGAGGCCGACACAGCAGGGTATATACATACCCTGGTGAGACTCCGCCGAACACATCCATTCTCACCAGATTTTCGGAAAATGAACCCTGACCTGACGGCACCGCCGGGGCGTGGAAAGGGCACCCTGCAATCGGCAATTTTCTCCGCAGAAATATCTTTCCGCTCCAGCGAAAGGACACCGAAATCGCGAATCTTGGAGCTTCAAACACGTGATGGAAACGGACATTCTAGACACGCTCTCCATGGTGTTGACGCCCCGAGTGAAAACGAAACGGGCAGCATTCCAGAGGGGTAAATGGGCGGGTGGTTTGTGTGCGAGGGAGGGAGGAGGGGGAACGGCCCACCACAAGTTTCCCACACTCAACTATCAGGCGCACTCAGGGCGCAGTACCTTAACTCGGGGTTCCTGGTTCCTTGGTTTGGCGGTTTATTTCTTCCTCCGGATTGTGTTGTCGGGGGTTTTCATAGAGCCCAAGACTCCTACAAGAGGTTTCAATCTCCCATCCTTTGTGTTGTGCGTCCCACTACACTCTGGTCGAAGATGAGAAGGAATTTCAGTTTAGCTGCAACAAGCTGCTGCGCACACACCCGCCTGAAGGGGATGTACAGAGACACACCGCCACGCCACATGGGCCCAAGCCCTGCAGTGGTATGTCGAAGCACCGCTGCAGCAGCGGACCTGGCAACCGCTTTCTGGCTACACGAGAAGAAGAGTCTGGACAATGCGCTCTTCTTACCGTTGGAAATCTCGGGATGATAATGGGCAGTGATCACAAAAGACGGGAACGGTGGTGCAGCAGACAAAGAGCGAAGTCGAGACATTGGTGCTGTTGTCGCAGTCAGTCAGTACATGAGACTCAAAACGGACGATATGTTCATTTCGCCGGGTACGACTGGGGCGGGGGATGAAGGAAAAGCAAGCGACCAACCCCCCGTCGAGCAAAAGCTTTGACAATGGTCCGTCCGAGAGAAGGTCTAGGATTTTCAGGGGTCGTTGCTTCGCGCTCCTGCCCCTTTTTCACGCCGCGGGTGCTACGGATTCTCTAGCGTATGCGCAACCCCCACCGTGTTCATTCATTTGTGCCGGTGGCAGCGCTAATACCGAGCGCTTGGCCTTGATGCCGACGGGAGCGCTTGTTGAGGGCCGAGCGTTTGGCGGTACCAACGCGCGTGTTGGGTCTATGTGTGTCCCTGCTCCGTTTCGTGTGTGTTTTGACGCTACGGCGGGGAGCGGATGCACCAGTCGTGAAGATCCTTTCTTGACAGGGGGGTGGCTTCGAAGCACCCAACCAAGGACGGTTGCACGCACACTGCTGTGGCAGGCGTGAGGGGGTACCAGAATGTTGGCATCGGAGGTCTCCCGCCGGGATGGGGATAGGTTTTCCGATCAAAGGGAATCATTCTAGTTGCCGTAGTAGTAAATGAACTCAAACGTGAAGATACAGACTCCTTTCCTCCCACGTCCCGTCCCAGTAAATCACCGAAAATGACATGAGATATCACACCCCCCGTACCGATTTTCAAAGCTCCATTTCTCCACAGCAGAAAGATTAGCGGTGCCAAAAATGGCGGCATTGGAGCCGTCTTGCCCAGGGCTTGCCGAAAACGCATCGTTCAGTTTATGCATCTTCGTCGTCGTGGGTCAATCGAGAAAAAGAAAAAAGAAAGAACAGGGGGTATGGCATCTTGTGTCATATGTCACCTACGCCAGCCTTCACGGCTTGCTGTCCGTTTCGCATCAGCTTCTCGTTACCCCCCCCTCCATCCATCCCACCTCGAAAACTACACTATGCATGGTTCAGGGCCAAATACATGACAAGTGAGAGTGGTCTGCAGACTTATTTCCGTCGTGCACGCATGTGAATCCCCCCCCTCCTAACCGCTTGTTCTTTGAAACAGGCAAGGTGAACCTGGTCAAGTTTGGGAGACGAGGGAATCCCCACAAAAGGGTTTTTACCCTGACCCCGGACATGCACCTCAGCTGGTGAGAAGATAAAGTTTGGACCTGCAACGATAAGCCGCCGGACGGGGTGCATACAACAGCAGTAGTAGACGTGTACGGTGCGAGTTGTTGGAACACGGGGGGAGGGGGTTACTGCTGTGCTTCGGGGGCAAGCGCAGGTAGACATTTGGCGGATCGACATGGAGAGCGAGATTCACAAGCGACAAGTGGCCTGGATCAGGGCAGAGAAATAAGATCGGGTTTTAGACAGAAGGCGCAGCGATGGGCCGATGGGTGTTGGAGATGGGCACGTGCCTTTTCTGTCTCTGGTCCCCGTATGTGAGCGCGGTTCCCATTGTTAGGCTCTAAATGGACTGCCCTGGCCTCGACTTGGGTGTTCACCATGAGCGTAGATACGTCTCGAGCGTTCTTGTTTTATGATACGAGCTTGCGTGCTACGTGCTTGCATGCGTGAAAACATGCGCAAGACACAATATTTTGTTCTCGATCAGCGGTGCTTCTTTTTTTTTCGATGGACCGCCCACGCGAAAAGTTCTTTTATATTTTTTATTCACAACCAATTGTGTTGAATGCATTCAATTTTTTTTTTTTCTGTGCCATTTATTCTTTTTTGATAGGGATTCTTCGTGGAAGCCAAAGGCAAGGACTCAGGTGGACCTCTCGAGGGTCGACCGCGTGCAGAGGGGCCAGCAGACGAGGAAGTTCAGCCGCTTCGCGGGGAAGCATCGGAGCGTCACCGGACACTCCCTGTCTATCATTTACGGTAGGCGGCGTTGTCGGCTTGGTTGGTGTTTTTGCCTTGTGATGGCGTTGGTGGTGTCGGTTGCTGCTGTTTATCTTGACGTTGGACGTTGGCCGTATTGGCCTCTTGTCCGATAGTTCTTCCGTTGTGATTTGATCCAACCAACCGGGAACGTAGAAGCAACTATTTTCATGTCCGTCCGACCACCCTTGCTGGGGACACGCAACGAAACAATGTGTGTTAGTTTGTGGGGTTTGGCTTGTTCTGTTCGGTGCCACACCTTTGTTATTCTTGGCTGATTTTCGTGTAGCAATGCGTGTGTTTTACGTGCATGTTTTTTCACCGCAACAATTCCTCCTGTTGTTCTGCTGTTCTTGGCTGATTTCCATGTTGCAATGTGTGTTTCAGTTTTAGTTTAATAACACTGCTGCTGTTCGTGCTGTATGTGTTGTTCGTTCTGACTTACTTCCACGATGATGTTGTTGGCGCCGCAGATGACCAGCTGTCGAGCCTCGACCTTGTTGCGGAGAACGACCAGGAAGCGAACACTCTCGTCGGCCTGCTCAACCGCCTGGTCGTGCTGTGCCAGGATGAGAGGATGGTGAGATCGTCAGACACAGACTTGTATGTGCATGCCGTACGTGCGCACAGATGCGTGCTTACCACGGGTTAGTCCAATCGACAACGGAAGGCAGGCGCCCTTCGTGATGAGCAAAACACACGATCACAAACAAAAACAGCAACAATGGCATGACAACAACAACCACAGCTTTCCAACAGCTTTCCAACAGCTTTCCATGCTTCGCAGGGGTGAACCATTTACCTCGTAGACCTTCAAGGGTAGCCGAACCTTTTGCGGAGGACCCCACGTGTGTTTTTGCTGGTTGGCGTGCCTGTAGATGTAGAGAGATCCGTATCTGGTATCCACACTAATATGTAGCGACATGTCGACGAAGTTCGTGGACATGGAGTAAATGGCAAGGCGTAATGCCGCGATGTGTGGGTGCCGTGTTTCCAAGCCCGAAACGGTTTAACCGAGGGACGGTGTGTTAGTAAACAACCGTCATGTTTGTCGCATCACGTGTAGACGTGTGGACTGGATGCTGTTGCCGTTTTCGACTAGATCACTGCGTGTTTTTCTGCGCTCTGTTGTGCATCGTGCGTTTGCCGTTGATAGTATCGGCATCGACCACGCTAACGGGCTGACCATTGAAAAATGTGCGTGCTTGTACTTGCGCCTGTGCTTGTGCCTGTGCTTGTGCCTGTGCGTTTATTTGTTCCCTCCCGGTCAGATGGAAGACGAGGAACTCAAGAACTTCCGACAGCAATGGAGAAAAGCTGACAAGGATGGCAACCTTACCCTCGACAGGAAGGAGATCGTGCGCCTGGTACAGACGGTGCGAAGAATTGTTTATTGTGCTCTAACGTACAAGTGCCGTACAATAGTATACCGTGTAAATTACGGTTGGAACGAAACCAGCGAATAAACACAAACGCGTGAACGAAGAGGCAACAGCAAATAGTTTCTGCTGTTGTTGCTGTCTTCGCATTAAAACCGTTCCGGTCTCAGGTCAGTAGTACCATGTACCATTGTTGTGTGCTCAACGGTAAAAGCATTTCCAGACTTGATGGAGAACAGGAGCCGACAGGACTTGTCGTCGTTGTTCGTTGTGGCGCGACGCTGGTGAACAGGTTGTACATGCGTCTGCGTCTGCTGCTCTGACCCCGGTGCCGAAAAGAATGCGCAGGCAGGGGGCGCACGCGGGCACGACCGCGGCGTTGGTGCCTATTTTTTTATACCATTTGCCTATCTGCCTGTTGTACGCTCGGTCCCCTGCCATCTTCACGCCTCTGTCTCTCTCGCTGCTCTTTTCCTGCTTTCCTCGTCTGTCGCTTGTCGCTCCTCTTCCAACTTACCTCGTCTGTCAATCTCGCTCGTTCGCCTTGTCTGTTGCTGCCGCTTGTTGTTGCTCTCGTCGACGTGGTGTTTGCTCCACGGCTGCTGCTGCTGCTGCTGCTGCGGCGGCGGCGGCGGCGGCTCGGGCGTACGGCTTCTGGGCTCCATGAACTCCGTCCCGGCTGTTACTGGTCACGCTCGGTCGGCACTGGGGTGATTCCACGTCTCCGTCCGTACCCTTCAGCTCAACATCACGGCGAGCAGCTCGTACATCAAGAAGAAGATGAAGGAGGTCGACTTTAACGGCGACGGGGTGCTGCAGTTCAAGGAGTTCGTGTTCCTCATGCGAATGCTCGGAGAGCGCCCAGAGGTGTGTAGCGCTTGCCGGCATGCTTTCTCTCTCTGTCTCTCTCGGCCGCGTTCCGTTTTGTTCTCCCCATGCGTCGCTGCTGGCCTCGTGGGCGGATCGTGACGCTCTCCCTCCCGTGGTCTGTGGTTGGGATCGAAGTTTTTGTTTTATGTTGGCAATTCGCTGCTGATCGTGAAGCCACCCCATGCCCCCTGAGTGGCGGTCCATTCCGCGCGATAATGCTACCTCGAGGCAGCATGTGCGTACACTGCAGAAACCTTTCTATAAAGGAGCCTTGCGTGTGGCGTGTGGAAGTCGGTCCACTGCGACAACGCCCACCTCCTTCCGCTTCCGGTCGCATACGGCAACAATCCTGTCTTCCCTCCAGCACGTTGCTTTTCCCCTCTTTGGAGTTGTCAAGTTCGTCCAGCAACCCCCCCCCCCCCCCCCCCCCTACCTTTTCGTGCCTCGCAGT